CCATCCATCCATCCATCCATCCATCCATCCATCCATCCATCCATCCATCCATCCATCCTCTCCACCTTATCCCATCAGGGTAATGTCGGGGTAGGAGCCTCTCTCCAGCAGTGTATGGGTGAGGGGCGGGGTACACCTTGCTCAGCTCAGGGATCTGTCCCAGCATTTGTTAATTTGTTTTCTGAAATGTGAATTTGTTCGGTGAAAATGTGTTTGTTGTGTGAAATCTATATTTGTTTTCTTGTAAAGGTGTTTAATTTCTTGTTTATTTGTTTTCTAACATTTGAATTTGTCTCAATCTTTGTAGAAGTGATTCAGATTTTGAAACATCGGTTTACTTCTCAGGGCGACCGTAGTTATCTTCCTTAGATTATTTCCCCCTCAGCCTGGAGGACTTTATTAAAATCATCGACCTTCTGGAACAATCGACTCTGACATGAAGGAGCTCAGATCTGTTCTCCTGCCCTCAGTTTCTGCACCATCTTCACCACTCGTCCTTTTTCTTGTTTTATTACAGCGCTGTGATGTGATTAAAGCCTGAATTATAGCCGCATTTAAACAATAAGTTTTGTCGACGAGTTTCTAATGAGTTTCTCAGAAAGAAGCTGGATTTCCAGCCCAGCAATTCACTTGAAGGACAAATGTGAAGTGATGAAAACAGAACAGAGAGTTCCAGCAGCCCTCTGGAGGCTTTGTAGGTTTGTTTAAACGCTCTAATGGAGGGCAGGGAAACAGTGTAGGTTGCCTTGGTAACATCTCCTCACAGATACTCCAGTTTGCTCACATTTCCACCGTCAGCTCTGAAAGTCATGCCTCGTGGCTGGTTGAGCAGAGCACTTGAACTTCATGCTCGGCATGATGCTGATGCAACCTCACTCTGCCTGTGACTTCAGCAGAAGATCCAGCGTTCCTCAGGCCGACACCAGCAGCAGGTCTCCTCTCTGTGGGTTTTAGTTCTGGGAAAACGGTTCCACCCACATTTTGGTCTTTTATGATCTGAATGACTCTTAACTTTACGCTTCTGAATGCAGACAAAACAGAAGTTATAGTCTTTGGTCCAAAGCCTTTTAAAAGAAGCTGATTAGTGAGTCACTTCATTTTGATGGGATTAAATTTAGTAAAAAATCTTGGTGTTGTTTTTGATCAGGACCTGTCATTTAAATCCCATATCAAAGAGGTTTCTAGAATTCTGCGGAATATGGCAAAAATTGATGGAATGGAAGAAAGAAAAATGAAATGGTCTTATTTAAAACAAAAGAGAACAAAGCTGTAAAACGAGTTTGGCTCAGAGAAACAACAGAGACAGAAAAAAGGAGAGAAACCGTCACTCTGTTTCACTAATTAAGACTGCAGCTCAGGGATATCTGCGAAATATTAAACACATGAAGAAGAAGACGACGGAAACGGGTTTGGTTCGCTGGAACTATGAGATGAAATGTAGACTTGTGTCTGATTATGAGGCAACATCTGACGGGCTTCTTCTGGAAATAGATCCACCTGCTACAGATCATTTGAACTGGAATCATTTTTTCCAGACGCAGCGTAAAGCTGTTTAGATCGTTGTAACAGGGGGAGAATTAATGGGGTGAATTAACTGTCAACAGAAACAAGCAGAGCACACAGGTGTTTAAATTTGTCAAATGTTTCAAATGTGAAAACTAAACCCTAGAAGAAACCTGCAAAAATACAAACATAGGTTCACCGGTAAAAATCTCCAACCTCTAAAGCCGGGCATACACTGTGCGATTTTTTGCCCATTTCTTGTTCGATTATCCAGTCGTGCGAGAATTTTTCGATCGGGCCGACTTTCAGCCTGATGGTGCGTGGTGTAGTGTACGGCGGTAACGAAGGGTGATCACTCTAGTGAGCATCATATTCCTCTTCTACTCGTTTGGCTTCTGGATAGACGAGTCTCAGTAGCGCCATCTCACTGCGGAGATGAGTCCCACCCGGTTTTTAGACATAAAATCAAAATCTAGATAAGTAATTTTTCTTAAAATAGGTGCATTTGTTCTTGGATTGAGGAGGTAAAAGATATATTTTGGCAATGGAACAAGACAGTTTACACTTAAAATAAGAAAACACAATTGCATTGTCTTATTTGAAGTGCATTATATTTAATTATCTTATTTTAATAGTAAAACATCTAATTCCATTTGCAAATTATCTAATTTACCTCCTCAAATTAAGAGTAAATGCACTTAATTTAAGAAATTTTTACTGATTTCTAGATCGTTTTTCCAGTGAGTGTGAGCAGGTAGATCGCATCAGAGCGTCGTGCTGAACATGCATCGTGAGCTGAGGACGCACACTGTATGAGAAAACTCTGGGGTTTAGTCGTGAGCTGTAGCTGCGTGCAACGATTGAAAAAAATTGCAGTGTATGCCCTGCTTAATGAAACTGTTACACTCCTCACCAGTTGGTGGCAGTAATACTCCTCAAGGTTGTTCACCAACCGCCATTAAATGAGAAAAACAGAAAGATGAAAACAAAACTTTTGAGCGAACGCATCACATTATAATGACCAATGTCACTACCTGATCCGTCCCGGAAGCACAATCCATCCTGCGCACGCGCAAACAGATATACATCCGGGTGTCCATAAATAACAAAATTACTAAAACTACTTATTTCTATTCTTAACTCACTAAAGAATACTAATGCTTAGCTTTTGTGTAACAATTTCGATGCAATTTAAATTTCCTTCGTTAAACTGCTTCTCTGACGTCATCATGGGACATGCTGAGAGCAAATCTGATTAAACCATGTTTATCTGCATATTAGTAGTTTCTTTCTTTAGATGACGCACTATATACCGTAAGGTTAAAACGAAACAAAAACATATAACTCAAAAGACTAGATTCACGATTTATTCCAATGTTAGGTGCTATGATTATTCTGGCCACTAGGGACCACTGTTGGACTGCATATCTTGCTTTTTTTCCCTCTGTTTGGGAGTTTGTGTTTTCCTACTCTGCCACCTGTTATCAGTTGTGCAATTAGTCAGCGTGTTTAAGCTCTGATTTTTATTTGTTAGGCACTGATACTTTGTTTAGCGTCCATGCTTCTGGCGAGTTACTCTGAACTCTTTTTTATGTTTTAACTTTGCATTCTGGGCATTAAATGCTTCATGCTTTGGACTACTTATGTTTAGGAGAACTTCTTGTTTTACTTACCTTTTGGTTTGGTTTTTGGATCCTTTAAACTTTCATTTGGAAAAGCCCCAGGATTTCTTTTATGGATCTTGATTTTGAGAATGAACTGAGTTTTTTTTTTTTTTGTGAGGAAAAAAAAAAAAACCTCATTGACAAGCATGTCTGCACTTGGGTCTCTCAGTGTTTATCAGTCCAACCTGCCGCGTCGACGACCTGGGTTCAATCCCCGAGTCGGTCCTAACATCCAAAGCCGAATAAGTTAGCCACCGGAAGTAGCGTAGGATCCCATTTCTGTTGCAGAACAGGCAGAGACGACTGATTAAACAGAAAGGATTTAAAGGCATTCATTTTCTCAGGAAATACATTATCAACATTTAACAAATTATATTTTGGTAAGTTTACTTTTTTTGAGGAAGAAAAAACATCATTTAGGTCTTTTTAACAAAATAAAATCGAGGGCGACCTCGATGTATATCGGGATGCGCAAATGAACTGATGGCGCATGCGCAGGACGGATCGGGCTTCTGGGACGGTTCGGGTAGTAAGACCCAACCGATGGGTTTGTCTCCTTCCTCCTATTCTTCTCATTTTACAGCGAGAGGTTAACAACTTTCAGGTACATTTCCGCCACCTAGTGGTAGGGACTGAAACATCTACATCAGTGCTCGTATTAGTTCATTTGTGATTCCTGCTTGTAAATTTGTGTTTTCTAAACATATTGCCGTAGTTCTATAACTTATATTTAAACTTCTTAAAAGGTGAAACTTCTCACAGACAAAATATTTGATGTCACATATTTATAAGATGAGTCCGTGGAGGATCAGGAATCAGAAAGGTGAAATACTAACTCTTTTTTTCCACTTTTACCCGACGTATTCCAGCATCCAGCTG